AAAACGGTAATATGTCTTACCTTCGTTGTTGTCTGATCAAAAGTTGTCTTCAATGTAGGGCTGTGCGATTATGGCAAAAATCATAATCACGATTATTTGGGTCAATAATTGATATCACGATTATTAAATACGATTATTCATTGACTTTGAAAAAATCCATTTATTGAACTTTAAAACAAATACAAATAATAATTTGATCAGTATCTTTTTCACTGTTGATTACCCTGAACGTATAATTCAACTGAAAAACCAATACAAAAATAAATGATACATTTAAATAAATAATATCAAAATAATAAATACCAATAAAAACAAGATCAACAAATATTTTGGAGCGCACTTCCACAAGCTACTAAACATATATAAATATGATAAATACAAATAAATGAGACCAAAATTAATTAGATCAAATATGTTGCAGTGCACTGTCACAACCTAGCAAAGCAAAATAATTGTTTTTTTCGATTATGTTGTTTTCGTAATTGTGGCAGGCCAAAATCGTAATTGCGATTAAAATACGATTAATTGCACAGCCCTACTTCAATGGCATTACAACGATAAAAACGCTGCTGAAGGTTAATCCATAGGTTAATCCAATGTGTCTGTGTCACTTTGAAATGATTTATGATAATCCATAAGCAATAAACCTACTTTTCCGGTTTCAGATTTCAGAGCGCGAAGCCCCCACTTTCTTTTGGTAACGATGGTGTGTATGTGGAAATTCCCCTTCGATTCTATTGGCTCTAACGGTTAAAAAGAGATGTCAATCATCAAAATCGACCAATGGGTTCCAGAGAAACGGCAAAAACGCCCATTTCCACCCAAATCACCCCAGAGGTGGAGGTTTTTTTGCTAAACCTCTCTAAAAAGATCAAATGTCACTTGTTTGCATCAATCTTGATACAGGGTACTTATTATATGTTGTACTTTGGATTCATAAAGCTTTTAGTCTACTAACTCATCATCCAAGGGTGGTTTTCACTATAAGTTAGACCCTCCAGAAAAACGCGATTATGCGATCGCATAATTTACCGCATAATCAGCAAAATGGCGCCGATTTTTAAAAGGGCGCATAATCCCCGCATTTTTCCACACAAAGTTGAGGGAAAAAAAAGTTAACGTGAAGTAGTGATGTCATCAGCTCGCGCAGGTAAACAACACCGTAGAGTGAATGTGTGGAACTCACACGAGAGAGAAAACAACAAGATCAGCGCCATATAGATTATTATATACTATTATACTATTATTATTATTATATACTATTATACTATTATACGGCTCTGACCAAGATGAAAAAATCGAATCCATCTCATTTGCCTACGAACATTTCTACTAAAGACCGGGCAAAGCAGTACCCCGATGTCTTGCACGAAAGTGGGGGGAAACTATTCTGCACCCCGTGCAACTGTGTGTTGGAGCATAAGAGAAAATCGACGGTGACGACCCACTTTGATTCATTCAAACATTCTAAAATGCTTTCTGCTGCTGCGGACAAGAAAGTCAAACAACTCAGGTTCACCGAGGCATCAACCTCCAAAACCCTTTCGAGGGCTACAAGAAACGAGGTGAGTAGCCTACAAGATTGAAGCTGGTCAGATAACGAACGAGTAAATGAAAACAGAATGAGGCGGAGAAGAGTGTGTGTGTGTGTGTGTGTGTGTGTGAGAGAGAGTGATTAAAATAGCCCATATATAAATACATAAATAACACTTTGTGATGTAGCTTGCTTCTAGTGTGCTTGTTTATCATAGGAACTCTTTAAAAGGGCTCACTTTCATTCAGTAGTAGCCTAGTAACAGGGTGTGGGAGAAGAATCACCTTTTTTCCGCCTCCCGCATATTTCGCAACTTTTCGCATATTTAGCATATTTCCGCATATTTCGCAACTTCACCGCATAAAATCACATAAAAACCCAGCATGTTTAATCGCATAATCAAGGATTTTAGCCCGCATAATCAAGGATTTTAGCCCGCATAATCAAGGATTTTAGCCCGCATAATCAAGGATTTTAGCCCGCATAATCAAGGATTTTAGCCCGCATAATCAAGGATTTTAGCCCGCATAATCAAGGATTTTAGCCCGCGTTTTTCTGGAGGGTCTAATAAGTAAAAAATAATTTTTGGACGGACACTATAATTTACAGTTTTTTACTATGTTCAATCTGAATTTTCTTTAAAATAAAAAACATCTATATTGATTCTGACTTTTCTACATCCAACTCACAGGTTTATCATTACTTTGAGAAAAAATATTATTAATTTTCCCCTTTTAGAAGTGTAGTTAAGGTCATTTGTTCTGGAAAAGTCATTTTCGAGCCTGAGACCTGAAAAACAGGGATGGGGTTTAACAGGTTAAGCTGTAGTAACGTGTGATTACAACGTCAGGTAGCTGCCGTGATCAAGAATTTTAAAACGATCGATTTAAGATAATATAAGCTATCAGCAGCAGAACAGGCACACAGGATACCCGGAAATGACAACAACAACCGGAAGTGACAACACGCTTACCGCAATAGTGAGGGTCCGTGTAGAAACATCTCCTTATATTATAACCGTTTGCATAACTTGATTGTATGTTCTGTTGTCCATGCTTTTCATGTTAAACTAACCCCAACGCTCTAGAGTCAAGCGTGGTTAATAATTGATGAATAAGTATAAATTAAGCATACTTACATCACACTGCATTATAATGCGTTTGAAAATAAATTCATTTAGAAGTAACAATATGGGACAGTACTTGATTATTTTATTAAAGAGATGATCCTCATCTGGAAAACTGGTTGTTTATAGAACCAGAATAAGGTTTGTTGGCTTATGCCTTTCATCGTAGTGGAAAATATTGTCATATGCAATATTTTCTGATAGTTTCACCATTTAAATGTGTTTGATAACACTAGGTGCTCTAGTGCCAAGTTGTGGCCTAAAAAATATCTCAATTATTCATTTGTATGGCACCCAGAGCTTCCACATTTTAGGGAATATGTTTTATGATTTAACATATCATCACTGTCATAAGCAATGGTTACATTAAAACCCTCCTGTTGTGTTAGTTTTCCCCCCCCTTACTTTGGTGTTCGCGGTCAAATTTGACCGGTCCTGTTTTAACTGCTATTACATTAACACAAAAACCGTTAATCATCACCAAATTTAATTTAACACCCTTTCAAACTGTACATATTGTATCAGACTACTGGTATACATGAAAAACTGCAGGAAATATACAAAGAATAGACACTGAACATGTATTGCGTGTGCCAGGTGTGATCCATGTGGGGGGATGGGCACATAAGAGTGGGAAATGTATCAAATTGTTGTGTGTGTGTGTGCCAGGTGTGATTCACATGGGGGGATGGGCACATAAGGGGGGGGGGAACACATCTAGTGTATGTGTGTGTGTGTTTGTGTGGGTGTTTTATCTGATCCGGTTGGTTACTAATTCCATTTCTTTATGGCGGTCATTTTTGACCGGGAACACCATGGGTGTTACAAAGTTGACTAAATCATCCAAAATTCAATGAAAGTGGTGATCAGCAATTGTATATGTTTAAATGTCTACTGTGAAGGATATCATAAAGCCGAATGTAAAACAAAAAAGTTATGATTGATGAAAGTAGTAAATCGGTCAGATTTGACCCGAACACAACAGGAGGGTTAAAAGCATAGCTATGCTACATACTGTGCTTAGAATGGACTGTTATTTCATATATAAAAATGAAACTATTTTTCTTTTACTTCATTTTTTATAAGTGTGCATGTGCTACAGTCGTGCTGCCATCAAAGACCCCCTGATCACCTCGCAGCCTCCAGCATGAAATGAGGTCATATATGAGGGGACTGTTGTTGGGGAATTACTTTAACTTGAATTTGCAGAGCAATAGCCTATAGGCAAAACACAGAAGATCAACAAAATATATGACATAAAATGAACTTACCAAAGCTGAAGTTGATGGTCAACTTCATTCATTTTCTTTCCGTTTTACTGATTTTAATCGCTATAAGCTGCTCTCCCTCTTCACATCTAAACTTTTCGCGGCACACGTACTTACAGCCAATCAGCTCTCTGAATTATGAGATGACGTTTGGTGGGTATGGCAGCACAGTGCCCCTTTGGTGATTCTTTTTTTGCCGCACACATTGAATAGAAAAATACTCTTGAGCATTCGCAGTGTAGTTTTTAAAAGTACACGTTCATTTTGACAGCAGAGAGAGGGGCTTGCCCCACATCGCTCAACACGGCTCAATAGGCACACTGTAGACACTAATTAGAAGAACGCAGACTAAAACAGTAATGTACAGACAAATCAGATGACTAAACATGATCTTAAAATATATTTTGTATTTTTTTTTGCATATTTTGGGAATTATTATTTGCATTACTTTCTGCGGACACTAGGTGGGGCTGTGCGCGTGTGTTTAAAAGAAATATACAATACAAATGTGTACTTTTGCCCTGAGATCCAGGTGGCGATCTCAGTTCGGGTACCGTATCTGTGAAGTGACAAAGCGTCACCATGACAACGTGGTGATGAGATGTGGATAACTTTCTAGATAAAGACCATCCTGATACTAGAGTTGTTGGTTTCAATAAGTGAAAAAGAAAATTCAAAGTAATCACTACCATTTTAATTTCTCAAGCATTTAAATCTGTCCCCAAAAGCTTTCAAGTGTAGTAGCAAACCCACAGTGATCCACATCAGGATCATCTTAATAGGCCTGTAATTAAATTCTATGCAAGCCTACCTCCAAAGTGTTATACTTCGAATGTTATACAAATTAGATAAGGCAGTGGATGGCAAAGTAACAGATTTCACACATGAATATGCTTAATGTAGGTTATGGTGTTCCTTTCACTGAAAATGAAATCATGTAGTATTTCAACTGTAATTTCCTGAAAAGTCAAATGCATTTTGGTGGAGGTTTTCATCTTATTTCTAATAGAAAAATATTAAATAGGACTCAAATGGAGCATATAAACAAGAGAATAAACATACAAAAACAAAATTGGAGTTCAAATAATAGATTTTATTTGTTTGCGTTATTCCAGAGAATTCTTCAACTGCCAGGAATGAGCCCACTCCTTTCCACTGAAAACAGAATGGAATAATGTTAGATACAGGTCCTTGTTTCGTCTTTCCAAAAAGCAGAAACCATGTGTGAAGCACACATCATCTTATAACTCAATTTATATCAGTAAATGTTTCATTTTCCATTTATTAACAACCACCACCATTTAGAAAAAGTGAACGTAGAAATTAAAACACATTTTCAAACAAACAAACAAAAATACATACATACATTAACAACAATGAATAAACCAATCATTTGTTCCTACACTACTTCAGCTGATTCAGAATAACAGTGAAATATATAAGAGGACTGGTGGTAGATTTGGATGTTTTGCATTTGTTAAATATCATGTGTTTGTTCTCCAACATGGGACTACATCAGATGACATGAAGCCAGGTAACTGGAAGATATATATACCATACTGGACAGGGCTCCCAATCCACCAACATTTCTGCTTCTCCCTATCAAGAGAAGAAAACAAATCTCTAATTTCGGAAAGACCAAACACATATTAAATATTTAGCAAACAATTGTGGTGGAAGTTTGTAAATCATAAAGCACACCCTATGCATTACTTGTATTCCTGTCAAACCTTTCTCATTCTTTCTCTTATTACACTCCTGATGGGGAAAGCTTCTAGGTGAGTGTGGTAGGAGCAATCTGTGAACATCAAAGCAGGTTCCACATACAGTATTAGTCATATTAGAAATAAAATAAATACAACTATGAACACTATTAGTGGCAACCAGACTTACACGATGAATAGTGATCACACTGTCATCACTGGTCAAAAGTGGAAACATCATTGAAATGGAACCAAGCTGCTCTCAGTCCTAAAATGGGATGCTTGTTTGAATGGCCATACCACTGCTGAGCCTGAGATGACAAAAGAAAATACTGCACTGCATTGCATTCTGATATCCACCTTATCAACTATGACTGTATGTATTTTTGTCTAATTAGACAATTAAAGCCCTTTGGATTTCTGGATAATGCATCAGTTATAAGTAGTCACAATATAGCATTGTTAACTCACTGAAGAAGCATTAATCATTGCGTTAACATGCACTTGCTAAAGTATCTTCATTATGGGACAGTGTCATATCTAAATGCAGTTCTTGAGTATAAAGTTGAAATATGCTGCATCACGTTTTTGCACGAGTTGCTTCGAAGTGTACCCCTATGGTCAGGGATTGCTTTAGGTAGACCACAATATTAATGATATCAACCTCTCGTACAATATATGGACATGAGCCAAATCATTTTTATATTATCGACCTACTGCCCAACGCTACAATGTGAGACCCTTTCTGTGGGTAAACATAAAACATAAAACCAAATGACATAAAATCACATTTTATTTTGTGATTTCTCAAATTTACAGTAAGCCTTCTGTTGCTTTGCATTTTTGGGTGAAAAAAGGTATAACCATATAGTAACCACATGTTGTCTGTTCAGGAATGAAAGACTGTATTTTTCTAAATGTTTAATATTTATTTATATCTGAGTACCTAAGGATATACACATACCCAAGTATCCCATTTTCCTTTCCTATTCATGAAGTTATATTTTGTTATCTAGAAATGTTTAGATTAAGCTATTGTTTTTATAATTAATTTACCTATTGGAACAATCATTATTCCCAAAAATCACTTCTAGTATTCACTGATAGGCAGTCACATGTTTCAGCACTTGTTAAGAGAAGTGCAATTAGGTGTTTTTAGATATTGTAGAAGCATGACTTGTCAACAAGTGACCTACAACCTTTTTTTAGGGAAAATCGGAAAACACTTTTGACTTTTAAAAATATAAAATCTGCAAATCTCTCCTTATTACCTGGCCCCTCCGTGGTGGTAGCCCGTGTCACATCTTCTGTAGCTTGCTCAACCTCCATATCCTGCTGGGACTGCTCCTCCTGCCCCACATCTGTGGTGGTGCACTGCTTCACGGGGGGGGGTCTTTAGCACCTCCACCTGCACGGTGCTCGTCTCCAGCACCTGGCTCTCAGTGGTCCCTGCCTCCTGCCAGTTGTTTGTTGGTTCCGATGGGTCACAGGGTGTGAGCTTCAGCGTGACTCTCTCTTCAACAGGATCTTCCTTAACCCCCTGGCCAGTGGAGTCCTGTGTCCAACCTGTGCAAGTTAAACAAATGTTGGTCTTGACTTGCTTAAGACAAAGAGGTTAACTCGTATATCTAGAAATAAGAAATACAGCGTGCTTAAGGTATGTTTCCAGAGAGGGTCAAAAATGTACTTGTCATGTCATAGGACTGTGTGCACTCAAAGCTAATAGAGTAATAGCGATATGTATCCAGTCAACCATTGATGGTTTCGTTTTTGCGATATTATTCTTCCCATTTGCGTCTACATTACATGTGATGTGACATGTCAATTTGTCGGATAACTGCTTTTTGTTTATAACCTGAGAAACATGACATTAATACAGAACTGCCAAACTGAATATGTGGTCAACTGGGATCGTCTTCATGTATTGTGCTCTTACCTCAAAACCTTCCTCCCTTTTGGGCGTTGATAAAGGAAACAGTTTAGGAACGGATTGCTAAAAGGAAATCGCTTAAGGGATGGCTCAACCCTAAAACAACATTTCCGTCATCAAACCCAACTACCTTGACATTAACAACTTTAGAACTTTCTATTTGTATACAATGAATGCGCAAGTGGTAGCACAATACCCCAAAATTGTTTTTCAAATTGAAGTAAACTCTGCTACCTATTTCCTGATAAATAACAGTTAAATGTCCATAAGTTCCCTCTGCAGAGTAAGCCATGTCTCATTAGGCTACATACTCAGTGTTTAAAAATGTATTTATTGTATGTAGTTTGCTATAAAAATAAACAGTCAAATATTCTCCATATCCCCAAATCTTTTGCAATTACTTTCAACTTTTGTAATACTAATAGATACTAAAAATAGTGACAGTTAACAGCAGAGGTGGGGACTCCAGTCACATGACTTGACTCGAGTCAGACTCGAGTCGCATATTTTGGACTTGAGACTTACTTGACTAACATTGATAAAAGACTTGACTTGGTATTCATGACTTAAGACAGATGACTCGAAAAGGACTTTACTTTTTAAAATTAAATATTTGCATTTGTTTTTGTATTGTACGGAGCCCCTAAAGGGCAATGAAAAAACAAAAAGATATGCTACTGTATCTCCACACGAGAAAGTTACCGGAGCCCCAAGTAGGAAGTGGAGCACACAGGAGACAACCAGATCTCCCTTGAAAAAGAGATCAATGATCTCAATGGGATACACCTGGATAAATAAAGGTGAAACAACCGTTTCATTGCAGACTGTTATGTTTATGTTGGGAAATGGCAGTATACATTAATTTAGATATATTTCAAACTCGGACTCTCATTCACTTCATGAAATCGCTACAGCACCAGGAGGCAGCGGGACATGTAACTCCGACTCTGAGAAGTGCAGCACCAGCGCGCAAAGAGCTGTGCCTTTTACGCAACGCCTTCACTGTGTTTACTTTCATTAGAACAGCTGAAGAGCGACCGCATGCTGCTTCGTTTTAACCACACACACACCTCGAACTGCCCGATTAATCCCTCTATTACTCGTTTTATGAAGGAGATGTCCGGTCACTAAGGCGCATGATGTGTGTGTGTTTGTGCTCTGCTCAGCTCTGTGTGTGTGTGTGTTCGGTGTGTTTGTGTATGTCCGACAACGGCATTTGTTTTCAAATGACCATGAACAGTAATTTACACACATTTGGCCAACTCCATATGTATATGTGGGTGTTCCCAAATGAAAGAAATGTGTTTAATCTTAATGTCGCACTGTCTGCACACACACACACACACACACACCATGCGCCCTGGTACATACAATATTCCGTTGCATTGGCTTTGATGCAATATTTCTTTGTGCGCAGACACAGTTAGGAAAACAATGAGACAGTGTTATATGGGAGCACCTTAGACAGACCATGGAGAAATGCTTAACATGTTGATGTAAAATATGTGTGTTGTACTCCTGTTTTCACTTTAGAGCCCTTTTAGAACTTATAATTTCAGCGCCCCACTCTGCATTGCTGTTTATGTTGAAAATCAAATCTAAACTTTTCATAACCACAATATTTTTAACTGATTTAAATGCAGAAACTGGGGTTATTCATCAGAATTTTGTATGACTTGACTTGTGACTTGATTGACCTGAGCAATGACTTGACTTGCTTGACTCTCACCACAGTGACTTGGGACTTGTAGGTTAAGACTTGAGACTTGCTCATGATTTGCACATGTAGGACTTACTCCCACCTCTGGTTAACAGGTAGAAAAGATGTGTGTTAGTTGTCTTACAAAAATATAGTTTGCCAAACCCAAATAAATGGCTCGAATGACTGCTTTCTGGCTGTATCAAAGGATAAATACTGGATCAAGTTGTTGTCTCTCACAAGATTTGGATGGATCGAAAAAGTCGCCGTAAGTTGTTACTTACTTTATTAAATGAGTTGATCCAAACTCATCCCATATAACTGTGTTGGTTATAAGGAAATGTTAAGCTCTCCAACGTTTATATTGTCAGGGAGGGGAGGAGTTGTTGACTGAACTTAAGTGTTAGGGGTGAACCATCCCTAGAAGAGTTTAACATCGATACAAAGATCTTGTGTACACAACACTTTATGTGAACTGTTATAGTGCAAAAATCTCACCTTTACAAAGGAACTCATAAGAAGTGCCTATCTTCTCAAGGTAGTCCTGGGCATAGGCGTTCAGTGTGCAGCGAGGGGTTAGTATTTCACATTTCTTTTCCTTCTTCTTGGTTTTCTTGCAAAGCAGCAGCACTGGTTTAAAGCCAATGGCATGGAGTTTCTCAAGCTGTAATGACAAAATAATATATTTACTGTTTAAAGAAATGGAAATGCAACATCAACAACAACTCAGCATATGAATTATTGAGAAAACTATAACATTACTGATAACAGCATCTAGGTGTATGCCATTCATGAACCTAGATGCTGAGTTTAGCTTTTGCAGAACCATGAATGTACCAGGAAGGGTTACACAGTAGAAGCAGAAAAATATTTTATAGACAAACACAAATAAATCAGTATCCGAGTCCCAGTTCAAACCCTGAAAATCTTAAAGTTAAAATACAATAGAAGTTTGACATTTGTAGCATATGCAAGGCAATTAGTTAGATACAAATGTGTGACCACTCAACAATTAACAGTTAACACTTAAAATGAGTATTGTACAATTAAATATTAAACACAATCCAAGTTTTAGCTTGCCACTGTTGAATGAACATAATCAACAGCGATACTGAAATTTAAATAGAATAGAATAGAATTGGAGGGATGAAACCCTCTTTAATGGTCACACATGCAGAGCACAAAGCACACCGTGACATTTGTTCTCTGCATTTAACCCATCCTAGTACCAGGAGTCTAGTACTAGGAGCAGTGGGCAGCTACTGTACAGCGCCCGGGTGCTCCGCTGTAAAACGTTCCCGTATGTTGTGGCTGCAGTCGTAAGAGTAATATAGAGTAGTAACATACAATGATGTAGTCTTATTAAGGTCTACAAATGTGTACATAACCAAGAATGGAACACAACATGGAAGTGAAGGAAGTGCTCTGTTTATTTAAACGTGAAAGTTCAATTAAAATATTGTCCCTCGGGTGTGGAAGTTAAGATAAGAGTAGTTTTAAAACTGAAAGAAAAGAGAATATTAAATAATACCTTTGCAATAATATCTGTATTCGAAGTTGATATTAAAGTGTATATTGGTTTTCTAAGATACAGACATCATTAAGAAATAAATGTATATAAAAACATTCAACTTTATCCTGGCCAATATATTGGCAAAAGGGTTATTTGTAACTTTGCAATATAATGCTTACTTTATCTCAAATTGTACCACATCTAACATACAGTAAAAATTGTACATACCAAGACAATGGCTTCATCCTTGATGGACCCAATGTTGTTGTTCTTCTTCCGCCCAGACACCCAATCCTCTCGCTTCTCATCAAACATCTTGAGCTTCTTCTCAAGGCGCTGCTTTCTCGGCTGCTCCTTAAGGCAATGTGCACAGATCTTCTGAGCACAAAATAAAATGCCCAGACAGAAGGGACATGTCTTTTTTGTAGACCCACGTGGCATGATGGAAAAAGGGATTACAGACAGACTGACAAACAGAATAACAAACACAGGTTAATATAGACAAGTACACAGAATAGATAGAAGGGTTAATAAAGAAATAGATAAAGATAATAGATATAAGAGAGCTAGATAGGGAGATAGCCTGAGTTTGCCTGTTAAAAGTGCCGTTGGTTTTATGAATGACTACGTGTAGACCAGTGTATGGGTTTGTTGGCTACAGGAGCTGCAGGAGAGAACAGAAAAAGTGAATTATGTAGTGAAAACTAGCTTTTTTAAATGCACATTGTGACCGTTTAACTACTTCAGACAGTCAGGGTGAATTCATTTACGTGTTTCCTGTTTCGTAATTATCCTTAAAACAAGGATAAGTTTGACTCAATGTTGTGTAAAGTACACGTTATGGTTTAAACAAAAAAACTTTAAAAAAGTATTAAAAAATAATACAGCTTCCGGCTTCCCGAGACACGAAAAATAGAACGGAAAAAAGACGTGGAAGACACGAACAATTCTTCCAATTGAAATGCATTACATTACATTAAAATCGTCCTTTCTGAAACGAAAAAACGTGAATTACGTGTCCCTGACCACGATTCAATAGATTAAATTACGTGACCATGTTACGAACTTCCGTGAGACTGGGTTGATCTATCAAACAAGCTACCTAGTTCGCGTTATTCATCTAACAAACGAGCTATCTATTGTTAGCTTTCCACCTAACTAACTAGCCAGTAAATGCTAGCTAGCTTGTTGGCTAGAACGGTATCATGAGAGTATCTAATAAGCTAGTTACCTTACATTATCCATTTAACAAACTAGCTATCTCTATAGCTATCCACCTACCTTACTTCCAGGGCAGACCACGTGTATACTCTTAGATGAGAGTGATTATAAAAACATTTTCGACATGCTTTTTTATATGCTCCTGCCCCACAGCCAGCAGCTCTTGTGACTCCAATATTATGTTCCTGCAATGCCGGAGCGGGCTGCAGTAGTTTCAGGACAGCATTGTTATGGAACCTAGTTGTTTTTGCAACATCGCCACCTAGGGAATTGGATGCCCACACAAGTACAACCAGCGAGTATTGAGTCTACCACACAGCGAGTCTGTTTAGACATTGTAATAAAAATAAAATGTGTTCTAATATGTTTTGCTATTGTCGAGCAAACACATAATAACATACATTGTATTGAATATATACATACACACAATGGATAGATAGTCTTTCAGTGGGGAAGTAGATTGTTATGGCTATTGTATTTAGCAGACGCTTTTATCCAAAGCGACATAACAACTTAAACCACTAAAACAACCATAATTAACACTAGAATATCAATACAAACTTAAATTTATAGAACAACAATAGTGGTGATAACAACAATAATATATGAGATTACACACTAGAACTGGGTCGTTTGGCAATAATAAAATGCATCACACAGATCTCACAGATTAAAGCACATGATTAATACTTGGGGTTAAAAACTGAGACAAGAAATTGATTTATCTGATTAGATAATAATAATAATAATAATAATAATAATAATAATAATAATAATAGATTTATTTTGTTAGCGCTTTTTCAGGTGCTTAAAGTCAAAGTCGCTTTACAGAGATAGTGAAAAGAAAAGAACAACAAATAAATATAGTTAAAGTCAAATTAAAATCAAGCAATACAAAAACAATCACACATTAAAAACCAGATTGAAGAGGTGAGTTTTTGTAAGTTGTTTTGAAGGTGGTGAGGTCAGTGCAGATGATAATAATAGTTCCTTGTATGCTAAGGGAAAACCTTTTTAATTCGTGTTGGATGAACTACCCAGTGCTGTCCGTTCCAGCGACAGCCTTTGTATTTTCAAGAAGCTTTTAAAAACTCACCTTTTAAAACATCTGTCAAATTAGTTCATATATTTGAGTCTTACTCGTACATTTAATCATATAGTTATTATTTTTGTCATCACCACTATTGCTATTAGTCAGTTTTGCTATAAAATTATATTTGTATTACTAAATACCATTAACATAATCAGCCACTTAAACTAAAGTGAATCGGAAGAACGCATGAGAGGCACAAAGTGACGTGAGAATATTAGAATAAATAAGCAGCATATAGTGAGCATATAAAATAAACTCTGTTTTAGAAGCTTTCTTAGAGAAATATTCACTCCAATCCAAATCCAATTTTTGTTAAGTGGAGAAAAGCTTTTGTTTATTCACTATTGTTCAAAGAAAGAAGGCATCATACCTCATATAGCACTTAAATTGAACAATTTAGCTATAGTATATATATATATATATATACTGCCTCCGGTATTGCAGGAACATGCTGTGTTTCAGGGATCTGTGTATGGTAAAGGGAGAATACAAAATTGACCTAATACTTTGGCAAACACACCCCAGAACCTCTTTTTTTCTTCCATGGCTGCACCTTTTATGAAACACATAGTGAAAGCTTAAAACAAGTTTAAATAATTTCAATTCATATCAAATCTTATCTTTTAATAGACTTTGTATGGAACCACAATTGGCCAATACTTGAACACTCGCTCATAGGCCCTTACAGCTGAAATACAGCATTTAGTCAAACATAAACATTGAAAAGGTTAGCTTATTCCATGGTGAGATCAGAACATCAGTTTTGGAGCTGATGCATCTGCAATACAAATATTGTGGAATCCAGAAAAGGACATCATCTTAAAAAGGAAAATCGGCTTCTGTAACTACTGACCACTTATGTTGAAAGCAGGTTGGTACATCATTGATTTATTAGTTAGTCGAACAAAGCTTCTCTTTATTGAATATCCTTGTTTTTTTTAAATATTGTATCTAATAAGTTAAAGAACCCTACTGTATGTTTTACCATAATGTTTAACAGGGTAAACAGAAACATGTCTGTGATGTAGAAGCAGTTTAGCGATTTATGGCACATATTAACCTACACCCAAGGTACAGGCACAAGGAAATGTCTAAAAAGATAATACTGCAGCAACACCTGTAGTATCAACTAGACTTCAGCCTTTGCCTATCAACCATTTAAAATCTGATGGTAACAATATTAATGATAATTAAAGCAGCAAGCAGCGATGAACTGGCCTTCGCAAGTCAACGCATGTCGGGGCACTTCCAGGATCCCTGTGGATGCAACACTGAAACACTATTGTCACTAACCGATCCGTATCAATAACCCTATCTCTTCTGTGCATGTGCGCAAATCAGCGACTTCCGGCCACCGCTAATAAACAGTAAATGTAGCTATAATAAGCAAAACATATAAAATATTAATATAGTCAGTGGTGACTCGTCATTAGGGGCAGGTGGGGCACAATAGTAGCCACTTACTGTCAGCAGAAATTAATTAAAATAATAATTCCAAAAATATGTATAAAACATATGTTAAAATATATTTTAAGATCATGTTTAGTCTTCTGATTCGTCTCTACATTGCTGTTTTAGTCTGCGTTCTTCTAATTAGTGTCTACAGTGTGCCTATTGAGCCGTGTTGAGCGATGTGGGCAAGCTCCGGGCTGCCCCTCTCTCTCGCTGTCAAAATTAATGGGTACTGTAAAAACTACACTGCGCATGCTCAGAGTCTTTTTGTATTCAATGTGTGCGGCAAAAAAATAATCACAAGTGGGGCAAATTGCTGGCAACCCCACCAAAACCTCATCTCATAATTCAGAGAGCTGATATATCGTAGTTCTGATGAACTATTGTGGGAAAAGTACTCCGGTGTGAACGCGCTATATGTGTGCCGCAAAAAGTGTAGTTGTGAAGAGGAGAGAGAGAGAGCAGCTTATAGCGATTCAAATCAGTAAAACGGAAAGAAAATGAATGAAGTTGACCATCTACTTCAGCTTCGGTAAGTTCATTGTATTTCATATCTTTTGTTGATCTTCTGTGTTTACCTATAGGCTAATGCTCTGCTGGATCGATTGATATTGTGACCTCGGAGATGAGTGGCTGTGTTTTCCTTATATTTACAGTGTATGGTGTTTTAATGCTGAAGCATTACGGTTGTTGTTATTGTTAAGTATTGCTTTGTGATGGTGCCCTTTACTCCATGTATTAAGGAGCATTACAATAAGACATGTACGTAAATGTATGCGCTGACAGTGTTGCTCCCCCCACTCTCTCTATCGGAACCATGGACAGCCTACAGCTATTTGTTTACGTGTTTAAAAAAGCACCAGAAGCTTATATATAAACATCTAAGTTGTTCGTGCCCCACCAGTTGTGTTCATATAAAAACGCCACTGAATATAGTTTAGTAAATGAAAGCATAATGATAACAGTAGAAAATAGTTTTAAACAATGGCCATTCTAAAAAAGGTAAAACAATTAAATCTGTTGTCTGAATGTGCAATGTTTAACTGCTGTCTTCAGAGATGTTGATGATGGTGTCCTCGTTTATCAGGTCTTCTCCATCAGGGATTTCTGTAAAGGCATCAGAAAATACACATGATGTTTTAGCCAGGCAATTTTTGTACATGGAATTATATTTCTGTTAAAAGTGTTAAAGTAGAGAAATGTAATTCAATTGTTGTGAAGTGATGTAAACTAGTACACGTGTCCCCTTGTTTGTTTGTTTTTGTCTCCGAAGATGTCGCTGATGGTTTCTTCGTGTAATATGATGTCTTCTTCAGCGATTTCTGTAAAGGCATCCGGAAATACACATGATGTCATAGCCAGATATTATGTGTTCATGGAAGTATATTTGTGGGAAAAGAGTTAAATTAGACAAAGGAAACTCGTTTGATAAGTGATATAACCTTGTTCCCTGTTTGTGGTTGAAGTGGGCTTTCGTGGGCTTTGGAGATGTTGCTAATGGTTTCCACGTATAATAGGTTTTCTCCTTGAGCAATCTCTGTAAAGGCATCAGGAAATACACGTAATGTTTGTCACGGTGAGGGTTAAATAAATCCTGTAGTATTCGAATTGGAGTTATTGTACTTACGAATATGCTTATGCATGCATTTCTTATGCTTATGCACTCAGGGTCATCCACCTTTGGGAATTGATTTGGTGACAATGCCTTTTTCTGTGAAAAACATGAGGAAGTATACAATAAGGGTTTAGAGGGAACCGTTTATTGTGAAGCATTTCAACACAGAATGTGTGTGGTTTGTTAGAGATTATGTCAAATATAATAATAGCAGGTATTATTTGTTCCATCTAACGGTAGTTTCCAGTAGCTTTGAAATAATACTTTTTTCCCAAACATTAATTACATTACTTTTGTCCGAATTTTCAATATTTCTGCAAAAGAAAAACTCCCTTGAATTCAATTAAAAGAGAGGAATAACCCCTATCAACATTATAAGGTCAAATAAAAAAAAAGACCTGAACAAAAATCTTATATAAGTCCAGCAGGTGGCAGTGAACAATCTGAAATGGCTAACCAGTCGTTGTAGATGGACTGCCAGTCTACAGCTCATTATCTAATATAGCAGTGCACTTATGATCAGGCTTAGTACATTTAACATTGATCAAATAGAGTGGTGCAGGAATGAGTGCTAAATCTCATGAGTTAAAATGATAAACTTCCAGTTCCTTCTTCTCGAAGTCAGCTATGTTTTTGGTTAGACGCCTGAAATTCAAGATTCAATGGTTTTATTATCATATGCGCGCATTGCGCAGTAGCTACAGTGTTATGGCAAATACATTCTTAGGTCCCGCGCTCCTCCAAAAATGTAACATATTATATATAGGACATAAGACAAAAAAGAAAAAAAAAATAGTGCAAAAAATAGGTCTGAGGTTAACAAAAGCTGAACAGATTTTCACATTTTGTGTTGACAACAAAATGAGTTTGTAAAAACCACAGTGGTGGTAAAATGTGGAAAACACCATCCTGGACAAAACCTGTTAAGTATCTTAAATGTGTATTTGCGGCAGAGATTATTTTCTGCAGTATACTGAAATCCAGTGGTAAAAATCCCATTGCTTTGCCTAACTCTATCAACTGATTGGAAAGATGGCGCCTTTTTT